TGGCCCCGACACGGGATGAACACGGCAGGCTCCAGGCTGACCCAAAACGGTTCCCCAGCGGGATCCGCAAGCTAGCTGACTACGTGAGTGCCACCCGCCGCAGCGCAGGGCAGTGACGGCAGTGGGGGACCTGACCTGCAGCCACACTGGGAGCAGGGGAGGAGAGGGAAGGCCGGATGGGGAAGAGCTGCATAGCTGCTGAGCTAAGGCCCTGCCTGACAGAGTGAGGTTTTGCTTCCCTTGCCAGCCCAGCTCCACTCCTTCCTGCCTTGCGGCTGCCCCATCCCCATTCCTCTCTCTGTCTTGCGAGCGCAGGTCCACTCCAAGGGGCTGAAGCTGGGAATCTACAGCGATGTCGGGAACAAGACATGCGCTGGCTTCCCTGGCAGTTACAACCACTATGACCTGGACGCCCAAACGTTTGCTTCCTGGGGCGTGGACCTGTTGAAGTTTGACGGCTGCAACTCTGACACACTGGAGCTGCTGGCAGAAGGTAGGTGTGGGTGGTGCCATGGGGTGGGAATATTCTGCAGGCAGCAGCAATTCTAGGCCCAGGGTAGGCTCCAGGGAGTTGCTTTTCCCCGAGTATACTCATTTAAGGGATTTGCTTACAAAAGCAGGTACGAGACTCTGTTCTCAAGCCCAAGGTAGTGAGTGTTGCTGGCCCAAGTGTTTTTTACCTGTTCAGCCTCCTGGAGCTCTCACTGGTGAGCACAGCTTAAAAAAGCAGCTTTTTCACACCAGAGACTGCATCATGCCGAGCACGGAAACATCGACTGCATACTCTAGGGGCTGTCTGTGCAGACTGCTGCCTCAGCTCTTAAAGCAGCAGAGGCTTTGCACTTCTGCAGTGCCTTTACTGGAGAGCTCAAAGCATTTCACACACTTAATCGCTTTGGTGATGCCATGTCAACACAGATCAGCTTGAAGCTAGAACAGCTTGTGTCAGCTGTAAAAGGGGCAGTTATCAGGGCTTTTAGGAGAAAAAAATTAAGGGAATTCTGGCATGAAAATTCTACTGGGGTCTTCATTTTAAAGCACATCAGCATAAACCCCAGTTCAGAAGTTATTTACATGCAGGCTGGCAAGTCAGCAGCTGAAAGCTCAGTAGCTCACTGCTGAGGTGGCTTGGCTACAGACTCTCTGCAAGCGCAAGCAAATCCCACTGCCACGGGAGCAGATTTGTGGGAAGAAGGAGGGTTTTCTCTTGACTGGGCTCTTGCCGCTGGCACAGTCAGCACCACGGTGTTTGGCAGCAGGAATCCTGCATGCAGTCCTGGCTCTGTCTGGCAGGGAGAACCTGCCCAAGTGACAATCCCATCGAAGCCAGCTGGTGCAGCCAGGAGCACAGGTCACCACTCTAAGTGACAGCTGAGCCAAAAGCTCTTGTTGGATCATATGTGTAACACAGATACAATCCAGTTGTATTGAAGCAGTTCCAGGGGAGAGAACAGAATTTTCGTTCCCTCTCTGCTGATTAAAAGGGGCTTAACAGGGCTGTCAGGGGACAAGGACAGGAAGAAGCTAGTGCTTTTGCATTCCTGCCCAGTCCATATGGCACAAATGCCTCATAAGAACATACTCCTGCAACGTTACTCTGCAAAGCTGTACCCAGCAGCTTGATAGATACCAACTTGTATTTCCTAGGTATCTAGAGGAAAAAATGCCACACAGCAACACCACAGCCTCTTCCCACAGCTGTGTGTACAGAGATCAGCAGTCTCGAAGCAGTTAAGTCTGCCCATGACCTGTAGCAAAGCTGTTAAGCAGCTCAACTGTCCTTGGGAGGCAGGAGACTGGCTACAGACTATAAACTCCCCTGTCTTCCCTGTGGTGTTTCAGCCATGAGCATGTGTTCAGCTTACAAGAGTTGAACTGAAACCTGAACCTCTGACATTGGATTAGTTCCTCTGTTTGACCAAGGAGATTGTGTAACCTCTGTCTGTCCTCTTCCTTTAGGTTACAGGCGCATGTCTCTGGCCCTGAACAAGACTGGAAGGAGCATTGTGTACTCCTGTGAGTGGCCTTTCTACTTGAGGCCTGTGCAGCAGGTGAGGAGTGTTTCTCAAGGCTTATCCTGGGGCTGAAAGTGGGAAGAACAGAAAAGCATTAAGACTGCAAAACAGCCTCCCGAGAAACTTGACGCTCTGGTCTGACAACTGTAAGGTGGAGGAAAACCCACTTTTTCCTCTAGAGCCGTGAAGTATATCTTAGGCGAGTCATTACTCTGCTGAAAAGAATTTAGTAGGATCCTGCAGCATGAAGGCACAGCCCAGCTGGAGCATGCCAAAGAACACAGTAGCATCCATCTGCTTTCTGTCTCCAAGGAACCAAGCAACAAAACATTGGCAATGCAGACACACAGCTAGCGGATAGTTCAGTGTTACTCCTCCTGGATTCAGAGTGCTGCAGACTCAGCCTTACAGTCACCTTTAGGGACCAGGAGAGAGACTTAGGGCAGCCTACTTAATAGGAATTCTCCACATTGCTTACTGACAGATTTCTGCCAGCCAGGTCCATGACCAACATGTTGCTCTCCATTCATAGCTGGCTTCCCCTGTACCATCATGACAGGATGCTGCCATTCCCTCCCACTGGGAATTAAATGCATTAGTCACTGAAGGGTATAAACCCAAGAAATGGCAGTAATTACTGGGATGTCACAGTTTAATCCCACTGGCCCTGTCACACCTTCGGTAAAATAGCACTCAAAAGAATTTTCTAACAGAGCTAGGTGGCCACAACTATTCTCCCAAGGGAAGCAATAGTGGTGTCTGGAGTACAGCAGACTGGAGTTACTGGGCACAAGGTATCCTAGGGAACCAACGTGCTGGTGATGAAAGGCGTTATCATAGTTCTCCCCCAAATTATCCCTGATCCAGTCTAGCCTTGTGTGCGGTCTTGTTCTCATACAGCCAGGCTCTCTGGCTAATCACACTCATTGTTCTGGCAGCCCAATTACACGGAGATCAAACAGTACTGCAATCACTGGAGGAACTTTTTTGATGTCTATGATTCCTGGAGCAGCATCAAGAGTATCTTGGACTGGACAGCACGTCACCAGGACAGCATTGTGAAGATAGCTGGGCCAGGGGGCTGGAATGATCCTGACATGGCAAGTAGAGCAATGCCCACCTCTCTTGCAGCACCAGCAAAAAATCCTTTCCTCGGCTGTAGGCTGAGAAGGATGGGGAGGGAGAGAATCGGGGGAGAAACATTGAGGGGAGGGGCTCTGACAGGGCCCTAGGATCAGGAACTTGATGAGAGGGTCCCTGGCTGGAAAAGGAAAGAGAACTACAGCTATCAAAGCGCTGTCTCTGTAACACAGCTTCTACAAGCAGTGCCAGTTCAGAACACAGGCATGGCAGTGGGAGACAGTCTCCAAAGTGCTGATCTCCCACCAGAGGGAAAACCTTTGGGTGCCAGCATTGTGAGAAAGGAACACCTGCATCCAAAAACAGATTCTTAAATGCTGCCTAGCCAGTTTAGGATCCTTCTTTACCTCCACTAGTGGTCATCCTAAATTGCCACATTAGTCATGCCTTGCCTTTCCCAACCTGCTCCTGGCACTCAGCCTATCTAACTAGTCCCCAAATAGGGGTCACACCCTCAGCATCCTGTCATTTGCCGGTGCTTGGGTTGGTGGCCCAGTTTCTCCTCAGCAGGCAGCATTACCGGGCGTTTTTGTTTTCTTGTTACAGCTGGTGATTGGAAACTTTGGGTTGAGCTGGGACCAGGCAGTGACTCAGATGGCAATGTGGGCTATTATGGCAGCTCCCCTCTTCATGTCCAATGACCTGCGGCACATTAGTCCTGAGGCCAAGTGGCTGCTCCAGAACAAAGAGGTGATCGCCATCAACCAGGATCTGCTGGGCAAGCAGGGATACCAAATCCTCAAGGTACAGCAGGACTGGGCTGGGGGTGTGGTGTGGGGCACAGGCAGGCAGCCTCCTCAGAAAGGGAACACTGGGGACACAGGAGATACAGAGGAGTGCTCAGGGTTTGGGAACAGGACCCCAGTGAGCCCACTTGTTCCTGAAGCCTGCTTAAACAGACAGGCATGAAGACCACCAGTTCTGCCTCCCCTAACTTACATAAGTCCCGGGTTTATTTTCTCTTTGGCAGGACAGGAACTTCGAGCTGTGGGAGCGGCCCTTGTCTGGCCAAGCCTATGCCCTGGCAGTGCTGAACCAGCAGGAGATTGGGGGACCCCAAAACTTCACCTTCCCCCTCACCTTCCTTGGCAATGGGCTGGCCTGCAACCCAGCGTGCTCTGTCCAGCAGGTCCTGCCAGCCAGCAGGGACTGGGGGGTTCACAGCTGGGTCTCCTCCCTAAGTGTGGAGGTGAACCCAACAGGCACCGTGCTGCTGAAAGTAGTGGCAGTATAGGAGGCACAAAGACAATCTTTTCGTAAGCCTCAGACTGTCTAAACTTCTTGTCACAAGAAGCCTGTCTCCTTCCTCCAAGGAGGGTGCCTTTGTTCTCTCCTCAGGCATTCACTACTCAAGGGCTTCTGTGTGGACTTTGAACCTTCAGCCTAATGTGACAAATACCCATCACTCCATCACCAAGAGATAACAGAGAAAGGGGTGCTGCTTCTCTTCTGTCTACCTTTCTCTGGCATCTCACCTAACTCCTTCTCCAAGGGGCTCTAAGGGCCGCAGCAGGGCAGCAACTCCTGTTAATGCCCACTGCTGCTACCAGCCAAAGAAACGCAAAAGATACATGCAGCATCTTACAGCTCTCCTTGAGCATTGCAGGGACAACAGGGAAACGTACCCTGGCTGCCTTGCCAGGCTGGGGCACACAGTCCAAGAACAAGAAAAGCTGCTCCTACCCCCACTGAAGAAACCCAACACCCTTCTCGGAGCATGGACATCCACTACCTTCTGACAACTCAGGGACTGGCCTACATCACTGCACTTGTTAGCAGCTGCTTTCTTGACAGCTGCCTGCTTAGTATAAATGTGATTAAGTATCATGCCTTAGGACTCAACTTTTGAGGGTTTCTCCTTACCCCAGGGGTCTTCCTCTCACCAGTGGCTGTCACTTCCCTTTAGATGACAATTCCCTCTCCACCCTTCATGGGGCCTCTGAGGACCCCTTCTTCAGTGAGCTGCCTTCCAAAATTACCCATGTGCTTGCTTTCCACTGCTGGCAGTAGCCTTTAAGTTGAATAACACAGGTCCTTCTGAGACAGGAGAGGATACTTAATCACCTATGCAACATCACATGCAAGTATGTTCTCTTCTGACTGCTACACAATCGGGATATCTTAATTTGTTCTTATTTCTGTGATTAAGTACTTTGATTAAAATGTCCCTTAAAAAGGCTAAGCTTTTTCTTAGTTCCACTGTACAGGAGTACAGCACGGTATCTTGAAATTAAATCAGGTTTTAGAAAACAGGCCAGTTTGTTCCAGTTACTAAGTTCTTGGTTCTTGTGAAATTTGTCATGATTACTACAAACAGCGCTCAGTAAAGCTGACATGATGCAGCCATACAGTCCATCTCACAGGCAGAGGCCAAAGCCACTGCTGCTAACAGCTTAAGCAGCAGGAGTTTAAAAAAACCAATCACATCAGCCAGTACTAAATAAGCAAAAATACGAATGCTGTTGCCATTTGGTAACTGAGAACTCTCAGTCCCTATGAAGACATGAAGAGGCATTTCTCCATCCTCCAGCTCTATTTCCAGTACAAGGAAGTTACTCCGAAGAGAGGGCTCTGCATTGCGTTCCCAGCACCTGCTGACAGTGGACTTCCTACGCACAGGTAGCATACTGCTGCCTCAAGTGGATGAGCCCATCAAAGCCCAGGGTAGGCTGTCCTGTAATGCACCACACTCTTGGTACTTGCCATCTGTCACTGCTCATTTGAAACTTCAGTGCTATGCTTTTTCTTTTAATGAAAATTCTAAGAGGTGCCTACAGCAGTCAGACAGAGTGCAGGCAGCTGAGGCCTCTCACACCATTGCTTTCAGTGGGACAACACACAGCTGGGGGAACCATGGGGATGAAGCTGTCCCTTTCCTGTCTCTGAGCTACCATAACACTCACAGCCACTGCACACAGGTCATAGCTGAGCTGCAGCACATAACTACCACCTAATGGTGCGGGTCACAGTTCATCAGATGAAGCCCCTCATACTAAACCCACTAGCTGCTCCAGGGCCTTCGCTCATGCGTTGCCCCTTAGAGCAGTACAACTGTTCCCTGTTCGTGAAGAGGGGCCTACCACCAAGTGCAGGGGCTGTTCAGGGGAGTTTGGATTACTCTGGCCCCTACTGTGCTGAAACCATTGCTGGGTGCAAAGAATCTTACCTGCCTCTCCTCTCGGGCAAGGGCTTGGAGAGGAAAAAGGCCTACTTGGGCAGCTCTCCTGTTTTTTTGCAGTCACTACTTCATCTACCAACAATTCAAATTCACCATAGCATTCCTGAAATGGAACCACTACCATAGAGACATGAACTGTTTTAAAAGAAACAAGCTGCAGAAGTTTAGAGGAGGCCCTTTTGAAGACAGCCTTCTACCACAGAAGCTCATAAATAGGCCTGAAGAAAAGCAGCAGCACAATGCTCATGCAGAGTAGCTACTGGTGCAAAAATCAATCAGAGCCTCATGCTCCACATATATTCCAAAACACCTCTTGGCAACACAGTAAGGACATCCCAGCCATCAGCAGATTTGTTTTTGTTTGCTCCCCCCCTGCCCCCCAAAGCCTTCAGACTACAAAGAGGTTGTTTACTAAGCAGCTTCACACACACCACCTTGATGTACCTGCAAGTCCCACCCCACCAACAAGAGAAGATACACAAAAACAAGCAATGGTCACTTCTAAATACTTTAATATGGTCCACAACAAGTAGGATGTAACTTAGAACTGGATCACCTGGCCCTGTAAGAAGGAAGAGACAGAGCGAGTTTATTCACCACTGAATGTCACCACTCTTTCTCAGCCACTCTCAGTACACAAACATACCTTTCTCTTCTTGTCTCCTCCCAGTTCAAAGTGCTTGCACCTCTTAATGGCCAGCATCCTCTTGGACCTGCAGTTGGGCTCCACACACTCCAGCCTCAGCACAATCTTCTTTGTGGTCTTAGCCTGGGAGGAGAGGAGCAGAGCGTATCAACGAACAAAATATCCACAAGCGGACAAATTGCTGCTCTCAGGAAAAGCTTGTTATCTGCACTCCTGAATATTCAGCAGCTTGCTCTCAAAGTGTAAAGAGAAAGACTACACACACAGTTAGGCTCCCTCCATTGAAAACCAGAAGGCACCTTAAGGACCAGTACAGGAGTACAGTGGACCTGTACCTTCACAATAAAGGACACTGGCAAAACCACTCAGTGGGGCAGGGCTGGTCCCCTGCAGAGATCAGCCATGCTGGAAGAAAGTCTGTGCCAGTGAACACACCAAGGAACAGGCACTTCTGCAGCACGGGAGAACAGACTGACCCTGTTCAGGAAAAGTTCAGCAGAGAGCCAGGCAGAAGGAACACCTGAAAGCAGCACCACTGACAAACCTTCCCCAGAAGGAGCAGCGGGTGCTCAGTGCAGACCCACAGCTGCTGAGAAGTCAGATGAAACCCAAAAGACTACAGAAGGAAGAATTCAAAGCTGAAAGGCTACCGTAGCAGCTGTCCAGAGCTGTAACCGCCAGTTATAAACTTCTGCCAATCATCCATATAATGCTGACGGGGAAGAAACAGAAATGGGGATGGCAACATACAGGTGGAGAGTGCCAAACTGCAAGAGCAGTATGGCTGCTTTGTGTACCCTGCTTGAGGAAGCATTTTCTGCAAGGTCTCCCCATTTCCTGGCAGAAAGTCAACTTGAAAAACACCAGTCTCATTTTTTTCTTCTTGCTGGAAGACTTCCTGAACATCTCCAGCAGAACACCAGGGCTTTCCAGCAGCGAGCCAAGTAGCTCGATAAGCATAACTAAACAGTTCACACAAAAACTGTAACAAATCAGCCCATCATATAAACACCACAGATTTTGCACTGCCCCTCCCAAACTCCTTGGCAGGAGGTACGCAAAGGCAGAGGGAAAACATGCTGCAAGACTACAGTTCTAGGTACCCACACTGAAGAGGAAGGATGAAAGCAGCAGGTTTCTGCAACTCATCTGTAACACAACGCACTGCTGCCCTCCCACTGCTGCTTTGAGACTCTGAGGAAAGGCCTAACGCAGCAGGTCTCATTTACTGGCTCAGCAATATGGATTTACCTGGAGACAGTGGACTGCAAGAAAATTATGTCATGTTCTGCAGTACCCCCAGGAGTTTGGCACACAGTCTGCTTCTATCATACCCTTGTCAGTGAAGGCAGCCTCGCTATGCAGACCCTCACAAACCCAGCAAAAAGTTTCGGTGATAAAACTACTGACACTTCAAGAACAGAAGAAAAACAAGCAGCAGGTTCCATTTCCCATACTGTTTCTCTTTAGCAAGCACCGAGGCAAACACTCTTTTCATTAAAGCATCACTTCCAATAAGACCCTGCTCCCCTACAGCACCAAGGCTCCCTACAGAACCTGCTCTGCAAACACATGCTACATCACTCCTGCAAAAAACAGGACCATCTACATGAGATAGGAGCAGCAGAGAAGATGAGCAGGTGCGGATGGGGAACTTACACTCCCCGGACAGCACTACCAGCACAGAGCTGCCATAACACGGCTCAAGCACAGGACTGTACAAGGCTGCAGTATCCCTCTTCAGCTGGGCATGTGGATTGCCAAGGAAGTTTCAGGTCCTCCTTCCAGGAGCAGCACTCACCTTCTTACGGAAGATGGGCTTTGTCTGGCCCCCATAGCCGCTTTGTTTCCTATCATAGCGTCTTTTTCCTACAGGAAGAAATGGCTAGGTTTAGGCAACAACTCAAAACATGCTACAAGGGCAACTGGCACTCTTACCAAACCCTAACAGACCTCAGTCTGCAGCTGCACAACTGATCAGAAGCAATCCTCCCTTCTCCGACAGCCGCGTGCTCAGCCCACAACCACCACCCGGGCCCCACGCAACGTCCCCCGGGCCATGCCCCAGAGCCCCCGGAGCGCACCCGTCCCTACCCTGGGCGTAAAGCGAGTCTTTCCCCTTCTTGTACTGGGTGACTTTGTGCGGCTGATGCTTGCCGCATTTCTTGCAATAGGTCCGGCGGGTTTTCGGGACGTTCACCTGGAGAAGCAGGGAGAAACCGGTCAGCACGGCCAGCAGCC